AGTTATTTTTATTAGCAGCCACGTAAAGTTTAGTCATCTAAAAAGTAATAATAATTACAAAAACAGAATTCTTAGTTTCATAAATAACCTTAAAAAAAGGGAATCTAGTTATAGAAGAGACAAATTTTCAAAACTAAACTGAATTTCTTTTTTTACCAAAATCCTAATCCAATTTAAACCATAAAATTTTTTCGGATGAAAATTGAAATAAAACAGCGACCCTGTCACCAACATGGGACTTTGAGTCCAACCACATATTACCTGTATTTTTTTTTTTTTTTTTGATTACCTGAATTAATTCACAGTCCACGAGGAGAAGGGGTCGGTTTAAGTATCAAGTTATGGTTTGACCCAATTTCTCTATTGTAGAAGTTAAACCTAATCTAAAAATCTAGTTCTCTAAAAGGTCTTTCCATTTTTTTTAAAAAAATCTATTATTTTCAGCTTTTAAATAATTAGATAAGAGTTTCAAAATTTTCAGGACGTCCTATCATGCTAAGACGTTTATCAAGCCGTTCATCACATGAATCTCAAATTGACTCATGTGATTCAAACCCATGTGATTAACGATTTGATGAAAATCTTGACATGTAAGAACTTCTTAATTTTCCCTTTTTGCATTAAATAATGTACTCTAAAATTTATTATTATTTTATATAAAAAAATTAATATTGATTTTAATATTAATATTATAGGTCTTAATTTTATTAAATTTATTATATAATTATTATTATTCATCTTCACATGACTTCCTTATTTTCTCTTTTTCCTAAATAAAAACTATTTCTGATTAAGGGCCAAAATTTTACAATAAAAGAATTGAGATAATTGGATTTCCTTTATCTATCTTTCAATTTATAGTATGTTTGAGGGAAAAGGAGAAGAAGGGTGATAATTCTTCTATTTGGTTAGAAAAAATTAAAAACAAAAAAAAAAAATCCAAATAAAAAGAGAAAAAAATTTTTTTTTTATTCCTTCCTTTTCCATTTTTCTCAAATTAAATATACTATTAAAGATTGAACTCAAGAGACAGATTCAACATTGAACTCTAGGGACAGAGCAGCCTGGAATGATGAAGCTGTCTCCTGATCATCCACCGCACATTTGGCCTGCTGAGGACACATTTTCAAAATAAATACCAGTCAAATTGTCCAAAGAAGCTCCTGTTTGATTGCAATGGGAGAGACGGCCCACTCTATATTATTGCAAGGATACCAAGTGCACAGTACACTCGTAGTGGTCCCACTTTTTTTTTTTTTTTTTTTTTTTTGGTTTGAACTTTTCTTCAGAAAAATGCACCCAAACTAATCATGGCCCTAGTGCAAGCTACACTCTGACAACTAGCATTTCCCTTACTATTATTACTGTTAAAGGTGTATGTTACTATGTTATTCTCCAAAATGACTCGTTTATACTACAACGTAGCACAAGTTATGGTTGTTGCTGCCACCATGTACAAAAAATGAACTCATTCAAACCTCTGCAACTGACTTCAAGGCTACAAATACAGTTGATCTCAAATTAAATGCCCAACCACACAGCCGTAGACAAAACCAATGGCATTCATTAGTACAACAGAAATTTATACTTCTTCTTTTATTACCGTCTAGGATTTAATCATACGGATGTAGCACGCTTTCTCATGCAGTGAATTTATTTTCAAACAAAATACGCAAAAGAGTGCACACCGGATTTAAGGCTTCAAAGACCGCTCAGTTAAAAGTTCTGATACCAAGTTATGTAGTGTTTTACTCAGCTGGCAACGTAAAGTCTCATCAAAGAGTCGAAGGGATAACAGCTTTAACAATTATATATCATGTGCAATGTCGAAACTTTAAGAATTTTTTCAAGCAAAAAAGTACAGTTAGTTGGATAGAGTTGCCTTGATTCAACCAAAAAATTATCCTTACAAAGTTCTCCATCCCCTTTTTCCCTCTTCGGATTAATTAAGCAAGGCTCCAAAAAGCCTATGTGTTTCGCCAATATGTATTTTTGTATAAG